ATGAAGCGTGTTTGTTGAGGTTAACTGAACATGGAAGTGATTTGAAAGAAAATCCCCAAAAATGTGTTTACAAGAGAAATTTAATTTCAGCCACAATCTAAAATGTCAAATCAAAACCATTCATTTGAACTGACTTCTAAAAACCAAACCAGTGCACCGAGAGGGCGCCTAGAAATGTTTCTTATTGTTGGTTGTTTGGTAAACTTGTATATAATTCTCAGTGTCATTATTCTGTTACATGAGAGGTGGCAGAAGCTGTGGGAACTTCCATCTGTAGAACCCCAGGTGAGGCCAAGAGATCAGAGATGCATCACCGTGAAGAGGGTCGCATTACATTCCTTGCAAACACTCACAAATACAACAAGCTGTGCTGGGTCCTAAATATGTGTCCAGCCCTCAGGTACATTCCACACACACACACGTCATCCTTTTGCATGCAGCCATAGAGATAGAAAGCTCGGAGAAAGGAAGGACAAGAGGAGAGACTTGACACTTTTTTGTGGTGTAGAATGACACCTTGAATTGGTCCATTACCACGTTTGAATGCTTTGTAATGAGCACTGAATCTGTGGCACGCCTGGGAACTGAATGATTGATATGAGAGAGAAACATATGAGGTAACATATCTCAGTAAATAAGGAACACCAGAAAGGAAATAAGGGATTAAATATAGACATTGACAGTATGAGGAAGTGTGTTTGAGGTGTGAGAATGCAAACGCCACGAGCAGGTGGGAAACTGGAGCCTCATGTGAAGTCTCAGCGGCAGGAACTGAGCTCAGCAATACACTGAGTACTTACTAAACAGCTACAATGCACTCACATTCCCCACAAGTCCAGCCAAACACACGTCATGTCATCCACACACACACACACACCATGTCATCCACACACACACTTCCTCTCCATCTTCTCCACTCGGTTCTCTAGACTTCTCACAGAGATTAAGTGGCCAGAAACTAGCGCTGACTCGCTGTCGGAGACGCTTAGTCAGGAGTGACAGCGTGACATCTCTAACCTGAGGGACACACACACACACACACACACACAACACACACACACACACACACACACACACACACACACACACACACACACACACACACACACACACACACACACACACACCCACACACACACACACACACACACACACACACACACACACACACACACACACACACACACACACACACACACACACACACACACACACACACACACACACACACACACACACACACACACACACACACACACACACACACACACACACACACACACACACACACACACACACACACACACACACACAGTCTTTGGGCAATGGCCCTCGAAAGTCCAGATGCTTATAATGATAATATGTTGAGTCCTGGCTTCCATCACAAGTATGTCATTATTGATTCATCTGATTTTAAATAAGATTCAGTCGCATAATGTCCGGCAAGCATCTCTGGCCGGATGAGGTTGATCCTCATAAATCTACCACTTTAAATATCAGAGAACACTAGTTTTATTTAATCATACCATTTTCTATTTTATTCTTAGAAAATCAGATTTGCCATTTTCTGACTGCGTACCACAGAGGGGACATTTGCATCGCTACAGCAGGAAAGAGCCACAGACAGCTTAATGTTACATACGTTAAACAAAGTACTAAGTTATGATATAATAACAAATATAATAAAAAAAGTTAAAAAAACTTTTCAAAATACAAATCCTAACAGTTAGTAGGATTTAGCAGCCAGGTATATATTACACAGTTATTAATGGCATATGTATAATAATGTATATATTGCACATATACCTAGGCATTCTTTAAGGCAAGGAAATAGGCATGTTTATTAAAAATGACCAACTTGTAGCTTGTTTCGCCGTAAAAACTACTTTTTCTTACTAGTAACCAATACCTCACCAGATCAGAATATTCAGTTTGGGTGTTTTCAGAGGCCTTAAAGGGGAAATATTTCCGGTATTTTACGGAAAAACTGACAGAATTCTTCTGTTCTTCCTCTTTGATGCTCCAGATTTTTCTTATGACTCCTTTGGGACGTCCCAACCCCCTTCTTTATGTCCTCAAAACTGGCTGCACCGGCTCCTAACTGACAAAATAAATCGTATTTGTCAGGAGGATTCAAGACAAAAGCTGCAACGTTTTATGCGTGAAATGTTGATTCATAAGAGTTTCCATCTTGTAGATAAGAAGTAAGGGAAACATTTCCAGATACACAAAAGAAAAGGCTAAAATAAAGTCTTGAAGTACTAACTCATTTGGATTGTTTAGAATAATTAAATCCCGGATGATTTTAAGGAAATTACTTGAGTTTTCCTACAGAGTAAATGACCTGTACGTAGCTACTATTTACTCTGGTTTGGAGCAAGCTGAAGTTAAAGATCAGTGGGCATCGAGTAAATGTTTTGAAACGGATCAACGCAACATTGAAAGGATTATCTCGCTGGCAGTAACGTCATATAATACAAAGAAGGCTGAGACCAATTCAGACTTTTTTCAACTGTGAAACAGATGTTTTAATAAAGACATCGGCAAAAGCTGGCACGCGCTGAGCAAAAACAAAGTCAACGAGGACACTTTCACCATCATGTTACAATTGATTTTACGCAGTCAAATGCGGGCTCGTTTCAGACATTAAATCTTCCCAGAAGTGACACCCCGGTGACTCCGCTGCAACGAGCAAAAAGCAATTATGAATCAGAAAATAGAATCAATTTGAAATGGAAAAACTAAATAAATGCTCATTGGGATGAAAGGCTGTTCGGATTTCAATGTTGGCCACTAGGGGGCAGCAGAAACAAGCTGGCAGCACAACACTCACAAAAAATCTTCTAAAAAAGTAGAATTTCTTTGCAAACACTTCACTATTTACGCCTCCGTTTGACATGCAACAACATTTGGAGTCAGTTATGTATACCTGTAGGTCCAATATGTTCTCTCCTGTTTGGTCTCCTCCACCAGCTCCTGTGGATAAAACCCTGGCTTTCTTGTTGCTAAATGCTTCAATGTTGACCCGCTAGGCGCTAACTTTATCCGTCTGTGGTTCGGCGATGGGAAGGAAGCGTCTAATGGAGATTTTTTCTGGAAACAGCTGCCTTCTACGTCTCAAAACAACGTTGATGAGAGCAAAACAACAGTGTTTCCTTATGGGGACAATCAGATATCGTATAGTATCGCGTTGAGAGTGAAACACAAAGAGGACATTTCTATAAATCCAATATTGTGCTTATGTCGGCATTTTGATTCAGATTTGCTCGAAATGTGTAATGGTTCTTCCTCAGACCGAGCGACATCCTGCCTCCAAGTGCCATGAAAACCAGGTTGTTTCCCTGTTATCCTGCAGACTAACAAACAAACCAAAAATCTCCTTGGTGGAGGTATTCAACATGCCGAATGTTTGCCATGTGCTCACTGCCCAAAAACAATGGGTCACGCTTTTCTAAAAATGTGTTTCAGATGAAAAAGTTATGAATAATTGCAAAACTCTGGAGTTGTATTTACAAGCAGCAAAGAGCCGCTTCCAGGGGGGTATACTACGAAGCAGGATTTTCGCTTAGCGGCTAAATTCAGGGAAAACTCCGGCTTTCCGGTCCTACGAAGCTGGTTCTCTTTTTAGCAGGCTAGATCTCCATGGTAACTTATGCTTAGCGGCTAACCTGGTCGGGACCAGGGGGGGTATATTACGAATCTAGTTCAACCTATCCTGGATATGTTTTGAGTTATCCGGTTGACTTAATCCAAAACAAAGCCGCTCTCGCTAAACTGTACTACAACGCGGGTTATCAAGTGGATCGCTCAAGCCAGCCGTATCCTATCTAGTTAGGTGCGCGTTCATATCTCCTTATCTGAGTCAGCTCAGCCGTATCTGGCCGTGCAACACTCAGTGTCACATACTGTATGCAGAAGTATGATTTGAAGCAACACATTAAGTTGACGAAACACTCGAGACAAATGTAATTAAAGTCAAATCGTGTTTTAGACGGGGCAGTGATATCATAAACCTGTTAATGTACGCATTCAAACACTTGTTCTGTCACCAGCTGTATTCACCTTGCAGGTGCAGCTCTGTGGCTTTGATCCTGGATCAAGTGTTTAAGTCATGGATGTTTAAAGTTGAACTTCTTCATATGTCTAATATTATAGTTGACTTTTCATTCAGGAAGTATGACGCTGCGCTGTCAGTACGCTTCTCCATGTTTGTGATTGGTCGAATGCTCCAGATACCACCCCTTTCATGTGAACACCTAACTAGATAGGACATGGCTGGCTTGAGCGATCCACTTGATAACCAGCGTCGTAGTACCGTTTAGCGAGAGCGCGTATGTTTTGGATTAGGCCAACCGGCTAACTCAAACATATCCAGGTTAGGTTGAACCGGCTTCGTAGTGCAGGCCCCAGCTGTGACGGAGTGAAAACTCAAACTCATTGAATGAATACAGAGACAAAGAACCAAGTCTGAAACGTTATGAGTGCCAGGCTGAGAATAAAAGAGCGTGAGGCCCAGACTGCTCGTGGTATAAATAGTCCAGAATAATATTATGCTGCTTTTGAACGAGGCAGAGGAATGCAGCGTGATGTAACGTCTGAACTATCAGAAGCCGCCCTATAAGCAAAACAATACATTTCAAGATAACAGTAGTTTCATTTGTATAATCAACTCTGAATCCAGTATTTAAATCAGCTTAATGCATTTAAATGTGTTTAAATGACTGTTTAATGTTAGGTGTTGGGTTTTTAGCAAATGTATGGACACTATTAAGAATAGTATTATTATTTATTAGGATCCCCATTAGCACTAGCATTAGCATTGGCTAATCTGCCTGGAAAAAAAGCCAATTTTAAAGAAGGAACATTCAAATAAGTTCATTCATCTTACTCTATTTTCTATCTGATGACAATAAATACAATTTAAAAAATAGATTAAACTCAATAAGTTCTTTGTTTGAATCCGAGTTTGACAAAAACTTAATAATTCACAGGACAAAAGATAACAGTAGTTTCATTTTTATAATCAATCAGAGATATTACGGACAATTAAATACGTTAAATCTACTCGTTTAGTTTTGGGGTTTAAGCTAATGATTATCACCAATGTTTCTATCCAATGACAATAATAATAACAATAAAAGAGAGGAGATTAAACTCAATACGTTTCCGAGTCTGGCAAAAAGAAGTCTAAATTCACACGACAAAGAAACACGGACACATTTAAGTCAGTGAAATAATTTAGTGGGACAAACAATTGAACATTTACATAAATTAACATGTGTCATGATTCTCTCTTTGTGTATTTGTTAGCCCTTCCACGGGAGCCTGACACACTTACACACTTCCTTCCATAAGGCATGACATGGTTTTTCAGCATGTGTTTAATTTGTTATATATTTGAATATTACTGCCATGTTGCCATGCGGAGTCTGCATGGCAACACAACACTGCATAGTTCTGTATAAAGAAAAAAGTTGTCATTTGTGGAGCGAGATCCCAGGCTGTCATGAAGTCTTTATGGAGTGTAAAGTGTGTCCTCTTCTCACACTCCTGTATGCATCACCCCCCGAGGCCACAGGAGGGGAGGGACGGGGTGAGTTCATGCATCCATCAGCCCAGTTTGGAGCTCTCCGTCTGGGCTCGCAGGGCAGCACGGAGCGCCCCAAAAAACTCCCAGATGATCTCCTCCCACTCCCTTTCAATGTATATTCTGTTAATGTGTAGAAGATAAGATAATGACATGGCGGTTGGTTTGCTTCTTGGAGTCTCGTTTCTTTTGGAAAAGGGAGAAATAAAGAATGTGAAAAGTCAAATAAAGGAGCAGATGTGATGGTTTTCCATTGACTTCTTGTTCTCCCGTGTATCTGCACTGCATGCTTCTGAACGAGCGATGGATGAGTCATTGTTTCTGAGCGTTTGTTTCAGTTTCCCAGCGGTGCAGTGTCTTTGGAAAAGCCCCCCAAAAAACAACATCCATTGTTCTCTCGTCGCCAGTGCAAATGGAGCTCGACTTACTTGGCTTTCTCTGAAGCTTTCTGAAAAGGTGCGTTTCGTTTTCCAAGCTGGTGTTTTTATCTTCCCCGCTGCTCTACAGGGTCAGTTGAAGAGGATGGAGTCGGGGTCTCTGTTGGCGATGTGCGCCATGTGTTTCAGAATGTCTTTCTTAGTGATGATTCCCAGCAGCCTCCTGGTGACAGAGAGAACAGAACGTCAGGGGAAAGCAGATTACTTCATATCATACTTTGTCACGGAAAGTCAGCGGACGGACAGAAAGCAGAGACATCGAGCCGAGGTCTGCTCTGCAGGTTTTTGTTTTTACAAATCAAGACATCCATTACATGACACTTGTTAGACGCTTTTATCCAAAGCGACTCCATACTCAGTACTGTGGGCAATCCCCACAGGAGCACTTTGGGGTGAAGAGTCTCAGGGACACAACGACATGCTGACTGCAGTGGGGTTTGAACGCCAACGCGCTAGTGCACTGCGCCACATAGGACTTTTCCATTCAAATGACAAAATAATAATATGGTCAATTAAAAGGAAAAAATAAAATTAAAAAACAAAGTAAAACAGTTACAAGTTAAAATAAGGAAATAAATAAGATAATTATAAAAAATAAATTAATAATAGTAAAGTAAATAAAAGCATTTTACACAAGGAGTGACATCTTTAGCACGATCGGTTACACGGGGACATTTGCCATCATGTTCTTTTGAAACTCAATTCAGTTCAAACTAGCTCGACCTCCAGGTATCTTTTAACACCGTTCCACCTTTTAGTCAATAGTAGACTTGCCGTCATGTTTTCCATCGTGCAGACCTGTTTAAGTCTGAGGTTTTGACACAGTTTGTATTACCGTCCCAGAGGGGGAACCGGCACGCAGCGGGACGAGAGCTACACGCTAACACAAAGAGAACAAAGGAGAGGAGGGGACGCTGAAGACAATTAGTGCCGACACTGCGGTTTCACACACGATCAGAGAGGGCAAAAGTACACACATCCTTTACTCAAGTAGAAGTACACATACTCGTGTTTAATACTCTGGTAAAACTGACTAAACTTCTTCAATAAAGTAAAAGTAAAGACTTTGAAATGTACTTCAGTAAAAAGTACCCATAACTAGCAGCTGCTTTAAAGAGTACCTGACCTCCCTTTATATTAAGAGAACAATAATGTCATTGTTAGCTAATGAATGTTTCCATGCTGAACAACGGCAACATGACAACGTTTCCATTGGTCCCTCTTCTTTAGAGAAGACCAGGAAATGATGGATACACGGATCGTGTTCAAATCAATAGGCACTAGGGGTGTAACGGTACACGTACCGAAATTATTCGGTACGGGCCCTTCGGTTCGGTACAGGTGTGTACCGAAGTGTACCGAACGAATATAACGTTAAACGTAAAAAATTGAGAACGTGAACAACTTGTTGGAAGTAATCTCAGGTGCTGCGTCGCAGCATTCAGAGTAATTTGCTCACATTGGGTTCAACGCGTCATTTCATTGGATGAGAGGCATACTATGAGAGCGGGTAAGAGGGATGCGTTCAAATGTAGTCAGTAATTTGAGGAACTGTCGAAAATTAATGGCGAACGCAGATAAAGTTGAGCTCGAAAATCCTCCAGCATCATTGAAGTCTCCGGTTTGGGAACATTTTGGTTTCGCAGTTACGTACAAGGATGACGGACAAAGACAGGTGGACCGAACCAAAGCTGTTTGTCGGCATTGTTCAACTAAAATTGGTTACGCGGCTGGCAATACATCAAACTTGCACACTCTTGAAAAGGCATCACCCGAACGTGAATATCACCGGTACCAAAAGAAAAAAGACTGAAGTGCAAACCCAACTCCCGCTAGCATGTAAGCCTCCACCACTCGCAGAGAGTTCAGACCGAGCCAAAGCTATTACAAACACCAAATATCCTTATGTTGCCTCGTTAGCAAAGCGCTACCTGGCTGTATCTGCTACCTCTGTCCCTAGAGAGAGGGTGTTCTCCACATCAGGAGACATTGGTAGTGCCAGCAGATCTGCCCATTCGACAAGTTAATTTTTCTTTAAAAAAAACATGAAAATACAATGACAAGCAAGTCATAATGTCAAGCTGGCTGCTTAGGTACAGTACAGTTCAAATACAGATTATTTCAGTTCATCGAAGAGCTGCACCTTAATGTTTATTTTACTATATTTTGTATTTATTTGAGTGAATATTCACAGTTTAATAATAATTAAAAACCCAAAACTAATAGTTTATGTTTTGTGAGTACTAATAGCCTACAGTACAGTTCAAATACAGATTATTTCAGTTCATCGAAATGCTGCACCTTAATGTTTATTTTATTATATTTAGTATTGTTTTGAGTGAATACATTATTCACAGTTTAATAATAATTAAAAAAAAATATATATATATATGTTTTGTGAAAAAAAATTCTGCTGTACCGAAAACGTACCGAACCGTGACCAAAAAACCGAGGTACGTACCGAACCGAAATGTTTGTGAACCGTTACACCCCTAATAGGCACGCAATGACTCTAAAGAATAATGATCATGCATCAAACACACATTCTGACTAAAGGAACCAGCTGTTTGGAAAATGTGAGAAGTAGAAAGTACAGGTATTTGTGTTCAACATGTAAGAAGTAGAAAGTACAGGTATTTGTGTTCAACATGTAAGAAGTAGAAAGTACAGGTATTTGTGTTCAACATGTAAGAAGTAGAAAGTACAGGTATTTGTGTTCAACATGTAAGAAGTAGAAAGTACAGGTATTTGGGTTCAACATGTGAGAAGTAGAAAGTACAGGTATTTGAGTTCAACATGTAAGAAGTAGAAAGTACAGGTATTTGTGTTCAACATGTAAGAAGTAGAAAGTACAGGTATTTGTGTTCAACATGTAAGAAGTAGAAAGTACAGGTATTTGTGTTCAACATGTAAGAAGTAGAAAGTACAGGTATTTGTGTTCAACATGTAAGAAGTAGAAAGTACAGGTATTTGTGTTCAACATGTAAGAAGTAGAAAGTACAGGTATTTGTGTTCAACATGTAAGAAGTAGAAAGTACAGGTATTTGAGTTCAACATGTAAGAAGTAGAAAGTACAGGTATTTGTGGTTCAACATGTAAGAAGTAGAAAGTACAGGTATTTGTGTTCAACATGTAAGAAGTAGAAAGTTCAGGTATTTGAGTTCAACATGTAAGAAGTAGAAAGTACAGGTATTTGTGTTCAACATGTAAGAAGTAGAAAGTACAGGTATTTGTGTTCAACATGTAAGAAGTAGAAAGTACAGGTATTTGTGTTCAACATGTAAGAAGTAGAAAGTACAGGTATTTGTGTTCAACATGTAAGAAGTAGAAAGTTCAGGTATTTGAGTTCAACATGTAGAAGTAGAAAGTACAGGTATTTGTGTTCAACATGTAAGAAGTAGAAAGTACAGGTATTTGAGTTCAACATGTAAGAAGTAGAAAGTACAGGTATTTGAGTCAACATGTAGAAGTAGAAAGAAGTACAGGGTATTTGAGTTCAACATGTAAGAAGTAGAAAGTACAGGTATTTGAGTTCAACATGTAAGAAGTAGAAAGTACAAGTATTTGTTCAAACAGTGAGAAGTAGAAAGTACAGGTATTTGAGTTCAACATGTAAGAAGTAGAAAGTACAGGTATTTGTGTCAACATGTAAGAAGTAGAAAGTACAGGTATTTGTGTTCAACATGTAAGAAGTAGAAAGTACAGGTATTTGAGTTCAACATGTAAGAAGTAGAAAGTACAGGTATTTGAGTTCAACATGTAAGAAGTAGAAAGTACAGGTATTTGTGTTCAACATGTAAGAAGTAGAAAGTACAGGTATTTGAGTTCAACATGTAAGAAGTAGAAAGTACAAGTATTTGTGTTCAACATGTGAGAAGTAGAAATACAGGTATTTGAGTTCAACATGTAAGAAGTAGAAAGTACAGGTATTTGTGTTCAACTGTAAGAAGTAGAAAGTACAGGTATTTGAGTTCAACATGTAAGAAGTAGAAAGTACAGGTATTGTGTTCAACATGTAAGAAGTAGAAAGTTACAGGTATTTGAGTTCAACATGTAAGAAGTAGAAAGTACAGGTATTTGATTCAACATGTAAGAAGTAGAAAGTACAGGTATTTGGGTTCAACATGTAAGAAGTAGAAAGTACAGGTATTTGTGTTCAACATGTAAGAAGTAGAAGTACAGGTTTTG